TGGTATGGTAAACATTAATATGAACTTCTGGTTGCTGATTTCGTACAGCCATGGTAGTAGGGAACAATGTGCCGTCGTTTCTTCTTCTCTCTAAAGTCTCTGGTTGCTTGCTCCTACCTGTGGCATTTGACTCATAAAGAAGATGAAAACAACACAGAGCAATGTCGTGGCTTTGACGACCTCAGGGACAGAATCACCTCTTATCAGATAACTTTTCAGCCGTCCAGCATGTCACTTGAAAGTCACTGATGCAACTATCTGCGATGACAACCACAGCAGCGATGCCTACGCTGAACTTCGTCCGCCATTGAAGAACTCGAGGACAGCAGTGCGTTGGTTGTTTGATCTGCGAGAAGAGTGAGGGTATAGAACTACGAGTCAAAAGCCAAGAGAATATGCACACACGGTTCTTGGAAGTCCATCACTCGCGGGTAGTGTATAAGACTTACCAACTAGGACACAGTACATTCTGAGAGGAAACCTCGCTTTCGGCCCTGAGCTACTAGTATAGGCGCATCGATAGTATCTTTTTTGATGCTGTACAGTAATGTGGGATCTTAGCTACTCATAACCTGAGACAACTGGACATTAAGTCTCACGCGATATTCTAGTATGTCATTCTCGATCTGCTTTGTCCCCGAAGGTGCTCATGTCATGTCGTCATCCACTTGCGCATGCAAATAGTCGCTCCTAATTGTCTGCTTCACTCCATTCAGAAAGTGTAATTCATCATCCCCCGCAGTTTCCGACTTTCCTTGAGTGCACTTTCCCATGATTACGCATTTCCGCTGTATAGCCAATCGAGCGACTGGCGTTTGCAATTTCACCAAAGATTAGTCAAATGATGCGACCGTGCGGTGAATACTCAGCGCGTTCCGTAAATGGGCCAATATGCGTCCACGTCATTGTTTAGGGTCGCAATTTCACCATGATCGCCTTCCTATAGCAAACGCTCTTATCACTTCCCTCACTGCTGCAGTTCCGCACCACTTACAATCTGGACTGCAACAACCTCGAGACCGCTTATATCAAAACTTCAACTCACCTATTCCCGAACCAGTGCCACCGCCAACTACAACCAACCAACCAACCGACCAACCACCCAATCACACAACTGCGCGTCGCGACTATGGCGGAACTTAAGGATAACCTAGGTCCCTATATCCTCGAGAAGGCGCTTACTGCTGACCGCGCTAAGAAAGACTGCTTCGTACTCGACGTCAGTCGAGACAAAAACGGCAATGTAGTCTCTTCGCTGGAGCACGTTGTCGAGCAGGTCGATGATTACCTCATTAATGCCTACGACCGTTCTGCTCCAGTGACCAAGCTCTACGTCGTCGGCGAGTGGATGCCAACCCCACCGAAGAAAGATGACGAAAAAAACACCATACTTGAAGAGCAGAAGCAATATGCTAACGAGGTAAGAGTCACCGGTGTTGGATATGAAAAGTGTACCTTGAAGATATTCGATGTAATTGTTGTTATGATACTTGCACAACTTTAGGTCATTCCTGGTTCGAGCAAGAACACGAAGCTGATGCTATACTAGCCGCACCCTCACACCAAGCCTGAACAAGAATGGCACGATGCGGGCGAGAAAATCGCGAAGCTCGTTCAACAGATGCCTGCGCTCAAAGAATTGACGTATGTGTATATTCTTGCTGCGCTTGCTTGTTCGCTAATGAGTCCTAGTTGGATCTCCGGCTTGCCGTTCATGGCTGTCATCTGGGAGAAGCTGTCCACGTCGCTTACGAAGCTTATCCTAGACCTTGGTCAGCCTGCTCGCCTCCAGCAAGATGGCACGAACGAGTATAAGTCATACATCACCCCAGCAGAGATGAGACCCCTCGTCCAGCAGACAGAGCTTGAGGAGCTTCGACTGTTCGGTATGCACGACTCTCTCCAGTCAGTCTACTGGGAAACTGTCTTTCGCAACACGTCCACGACTGGCATGCGCGTCCTAGATCTTAACATGGCAGCACCTCCAATCGTGCGTCAAGACCACTGGCGCAAAGCTGACGACGTCCGTGGATTGACTGTTCCAAAGGCAGATTCCAAAGAAAAGGAGTACAAGTGAGTCACTGCACGCAGGAATTCGACCAGTGTTCAGTACAGGAATATTGCCGCTAATACTTTCCAGGGGCGTTGACGGAAAAGGAGTCTTGCACTATGCCTTCGGCACCGGTGAGTATCTCGACGACTTCAGCATGCGCAAAGGACGTATCGCCGCAGGCTTGGAGGAGGCCAGGCCGCTATCACTATGGTACGTGCAACAATTCCGTAGAGCTGAGAAGACAGAGCCATACGGAAAAGCTCAGTATTCATGAGCTGTACCCCAACAAGAACTCCAGTGGTGATCGCTGAGTATTTTGGCCGTGAGGAGCCAAACCTGGAGACAAAATATCCTTTTGCTCAACCCCTAAAACAGAACCCTCCTCTTGCATCACAAAGACTGACTCGTTCAATAAGGTGCCTCAAGCTTGACGGGTTCGTTGTCGATTACCTGCCCTTCGAGCAAGAGCTCTCCCGTATCGCACTGTTGACTTGCGGCAAGGACTGCATCGATAGCGGCCTGCGCGCTCCGAAGACTCCTCGTACTCCACACAGTAAGTAATGTCCCTATACAATCTACATATGAAACAGGAATTAACTTCACCCACCAAAATGTAGATAGGTGGGCCAAGATGGTCAACAACGCGACGTCCCATTGCTTGATCCGGTGGCCGAATTGGACGGGAGTTTTCGACGACCATGGTGACCAGCGTTAGTGATAACACTGGTCGATTCGCATCTGAGACAACTACTAACCTTCGTACACCAACTTGTAGGCAGCAACCAAGGCGATGTCGTCTCTCAGGAGGCAGGTCTCTCAACTCCGGCTGAAGAATATTCCTCAGTATTCTCACAAATGCCGCTGACCAAAGAGTCCCTCCACATGAAGGATCTTGGCGAGGCCTTGGATGGTGCTAACAAAGATGATGGCTATTTCTCAGCTCATCCGCTGTTCGTTCCTGAAACTGGTGGAGAACCCTCGCTGGGTGTGTGGTCAAATGCATCGACCTGCGGTTCCAACATCACAACGCCTGTAGTGCCCTCGACCGACCGAAGCTCACCTAAGATGCCTGCGGTACCTGCGGCGGTTGAGACTTCCCCGATTGGCGAGAGCCTGATACCTGTCAACAGTGCGACCACTGCAGACTCGGTAGTCTCCAATGATAGCAGTTACGACCAGGTCGTACCCTTGGACAACGATGAAGCCCCCAACAACTCTATGTCAGCCGCGAAATACAGCTTCAAGCACAAGATCAGGCGATCCTGGGATTGGCTGGCTGGTTCTGGTTCTCATTCCGGCGCTGTTTCCTGAAATTCGTCCGGTCTTTCTCAGCATTTTGCTTGCTTTTGACATTGCTCTTATTAGAGGGCTGACAAAGGGGAGTGAGGAGACATGGAAAGGACTGCTAGCAGTGCCAATTGAGTGTCCTCCAAACATCCTCACTTCGAATTCGTAGGAACGCGTGGATGACGCATGGCGGATGACCTAGAGACGAGAAACTACGATATCACGACACGGGAGCTTTTGGCGCTTGGAGGCTTTGGAAAAGAACATTCAGGAATACCCTTGTAGCTAGGTCTCACTCCCGAGTCTGGCCCTTTCCTAGGATCGACATGAATAAACACATTCTACATCCATGTTATATCGGTGCTACTTCTTCGTTGCTGACATCTCGGCGCCATTGCAGTAGATCTCGCGCTGCCGCCTTGGTCCGACGTGCTTGCGATTCGTGTTGTGAGGCGGTGTGCGCGATGTGTTTGTCTCCAGGATATCACGAACGGAGGGACGTCTGGCGATGACAAGTCGTCAGCGGGCCTAGCAGACGTTACGTCTGCAGCATGTTTCCTTGTTGGTCCGTTGCTGCAGGATCGTGGGTCTTGCGCATAGGCGAGGCTGGGAGTTGCATGCTATGTATGCAGGATGCAGGGGTCGACGTCAAACGTCTTCTATGTTAGCTGTGCACGACGATGAGCGACTTTTTATGATGAGAGTTGTTGCGACACAGGTCTTGAGATGAAAGTAATACAGTAAGTTGTCGTTGGGTTGAAGGGGCACAAGACTCGTGGGCAGATGCCGTGACGTGTTGACCCGCTGGAGGCGGGCCGCTCCTTCTTCACAAAGTCGCATCATGGCCCGCTGATTGGCAGGCGCATCTCGGTGGGCAGGTGCGATGAGGTAACCGCGATGAGGAGCAGTGAGTGAGGCCGTATGCCAAATGAATCTCCGACTACATGTCTTCCTGAGAATCAATCCTGAACTGCTGGCTTCTGCTGCCTTGCTTCGTTCGGCCGGTCATGACGGCGACGGGCTTTCCGCTTTCCGGTTCGCGCTGTACCTTGGCCCCCATGCCAGGTTAGCAGAACAAGCACGATGAGCTGGCACGCTGGCAATCGATCGTAGCCGTCACCAACTCTACGTCTGCTATCCCGGCCTCATAGCAGTCGCTTGCATGCATCTCGCTGCACGTCGGTCAGTGCGACTCCACATGAGCAAATATCAGCATTTGTCGTATTTGCTTCCCGGGTGAACCTCCGCTCGCGCCCCAAGAGCGCTACGACAGGTCCGCGATTGCCAGGCCGTGCGACTTCAATGCATATTCATACGATACCCTCTGTCTCTCCAGTCACTCTTTACTTCCCGCCCGCGCGTTGCAGCAGGCGCCGCGCTTCCGAGCGCTGGGGCTGAGGGACAGCTTTCCGTCCAGTGACGTCTGCTTCGGCGTTGACAGCAGAACTCGAGGCATTGGACAGCGACTAGCACCACGACAACAGCACAGCGCATACGTCTTCGCCCATCGCGCATACAGACACGCACATTGGCTGTTCTATGCGAGTGTCGGTGAGAGGTGTAAGTCGATTTCACGAAGCCTCCCAGCCACCTTCCCAGCCCTTCACCTCTTCCCAACCACCCTACCTCACGCGTGGATCTGCTGGGGCGCACCGCAGCAATGGCTCCTCTGCTAGCCCTTCCGCAGTCTCTGTATCTAACATTATACTCACCAGCCAGCTTTCGTGTATTCCAACATAAGCACGCCGTCGCGCGCTGCTTAGCTTATCCCCAGAGACCCAGCCGCTGGGTATCTCCTCCAACCCAGTCGGGTGCCCTCGACGGCGCAAGGGCAATTGAGCCTGAGTAACACTCCCTGGACTCACAGTGACGTCCAGCGATCCACCAGAGCTCGCAAACATATTACCCTTCCAGCACACATCTTCACGAGACCACGACCGCGACGGCCCAGCGCCACTGTTCGAATACCGAACCTCCCTCCAGCTACGCCAGGAGCAAGCCGACGCCTTCTACCGCACGCAGCACAATCGCTCGAGAGCATCAAGTTCGACTGGCAGCGTCGCGAACAGCCTTCGCCGTACGCCCAACTTCGAGCGCGCCAGATCAGTCGATCCGAGCCAACAACAGCGCGTTCGCTTCGAGACACCTCGCCCTCACTCAACCCCCTACGCTGAGCCTCATCCCGCTCTTCGCATCAGTCGACGTACTGCCTCGGCAATACGCTTCGTGCTCGAAGAGGGACTCCGACTTCCACATCCTTTCACACCGGATCTGGTCGAAGAGAACGCCCTCATGTCCGATCTGTCGAGTGGCCGCGCTGCCAACGGCGGGGCCCGTACAACTGGCGGTCCCGTGCCTGTCGATCGGTCCAACATTCGTACGCCAACGCAGATCATGAATGCTAGACGACAACGGGCTGAAGTGGAGGAACAAAGGAAGGCCGCCGAGGAGGAGCGCAGGCGAGCCAGCGCAGAAAGAAGAGCTCAAGCTGTTTCTGGTGTAGCTGGAGCACCAACAACTGAGCCTGGGACCCAGAGGCAGCCCCAATCAGCCCCTCTAAGATCTGGCGACCAATACGTACAATACCCGACCTCCTCGGGCGGAGTGCCGCGTCAACCAGAGAGGCCAATGCCATCACAAAACACCATGAACGAAGCACAAGAGACCACAACAGGCGCATCGCAATCAAGACCTCGAGCGGCCTCACAAACACCCTCTCGACTCACTCAGGCAAATCTAGGTCTGCCAACGACAGCAGAACAAAGCAGAAGACCAGCTGGCTCAGGCCACGCCAGGCGACCCTCCGGCGCCACAGCTTCATCACAAGCAGGCCCTTCAACTGCTGCAGCACGACCACCGCCTCCACCGGGTTCGTCCACTGGACAAGCTCGGGAGTCAACAACATCCAACTTTCCACATGCGTTCGAGCGCTGGGAAACCCTATCTTCACATTGGGAGGGCCTTACCTCTTACTGGATACGGCGACTTGAGCAAAACACCGATGAAGTCCGCAGAGAGCCACTGGCACAGCAAATGTCACGGCAAATCACTGATCTTTCGGCAGCTGGTGCTAACCTCTTCCATGCTGTCGTCGAACTTCAACGCTTGCGCGCATCTTCCGAACGAAAATTTCAGAGATGGTTCTACGAACATCGCCAGGACCAGGAGAGGGCCCAGGAGCGCGAAGCGCAATTGACTGAACAAATGAACTCGGAGCGCGAGCTTCGCCTTGAGGCTGAAGCGAACATGGAGCGCATGGCCACTGAGAAGAAGAATGCCGAACGAGCTGTGTCCGAGATGAAGCGTGAGCTACAAATCTCGAAGGAAGAAGCACGCCGAGCATGGGAAGAACTTGGGAGGCGAGAACAGGAAGAGCGCGATCGCACATTCTCGTTGAGGGAAGGCCAGCCTACATTGGTTGGCGGAGTGCAGGTGGTGCCGATGGCGCAGAACATGGGACGTCAAGGAAGGGGACATGGAGATGATACTTATGCTGGTGCACAGAGTAGTGGTGAGGGCATCGAACAACACTACTCGTACGAAGAAGGTCAATCACCAACCGATACCGATCCCTTCACTGAGAGCGCCCGCCATGGGCGCCGAGAGCCTGAGCAGCCTGCGCACGTAGCTCAAGGAACTTATATTCCTTCGGGCGCAGCATCGACCGCATCATCTCGGCCTGGTGGCTCTTCGGTTGCGGACGAATCGCTAGCTCCTGCTCCTCTACAATACCCATACTATACATCTCAAGCACAGCAGGGGTCTACACAGCCGGCCATGTCCCAGCCAGAGGCCTTTTACCAACAACCCGCCTCCTATCTACACCAGGAGTCCGAATCCGGTCTTCCGGATGACGAGCAGTCGTACGTCACTTCTCAGGCGGAGTCAGAAGCCGACATCGAGTACGCCCTGGATGAGAGAGGGAACTTTATACGCGATGATTCGGGTCGCCGTATCCCGTTCCGATCTCTTCAGTCTCCAGTATCAGACGAGTACGATGTAGAAGACGCACGCCGACGTGAGCTCGAGCATCTCCAGCACTATGGTACAACTGCCACTTCTCAGGGCGGATATGCAACGAGTTCAGGCGCGGGGTCTTCTCAACAGCCCGCTGGTGGCCGACCCGACTATAGCGGCGATGGCTACGGCGACGAGTGGGTAGGTATGAGACATCACCATCCTACTAGATTGAGCGACGTGCCCGAGGAAGATGAGAGGAGCCGGACATCGCCAAGCAGAGCAAGCCAGGCCAGCCGAGGGCGCCTGTATTAGACGAAGACTGCAAACTCCATCTGCATCGTCACAACAAGATCTCCACAAGCCGCACTTACCGTCGATTTCCTGTCTCGCAGATTGTAATCACATCGTTTTGAGTTTCGCATATGCATATATCGTTCTGGCATACATGTTACTGCGTCTATACCCTTCTACAAGATCTCTCTAATCGAGCGTCTCTGGCCCTCTATGGCTGATTCTTGCATCTACAAGCGCTCCCATGTACTAGTAGAACCGTCCCTTCTTTGCTATTTGGTTTTTCTCTTAACGCAAGCATGGTGTTTATTGGGCATTGGCATATTGATGGTTTGATGGACGGAGTGCTCGGTAGTAGGGTATGAAGTCTCCGCAGATCATGAAGGAGTAATTTTCGGGGATGGGGGTCTAATGGATTGAATGAAAAGGAGAGATGGGTGAGCCTAATGCATGACTATTCAGTTCATTGTTCCGGTGCTTTCGTCTCTTACCTTCTACCGTGTCTGTTATTGTGCTACATTTCCTACTCTTCTGGTCAGTCTTCTCTCTTCCTTTCGAATTTCTTCAACATGTTCCCTGGTATGTATGTTCAATTCACATGTCCCAAATGACCCGTGGGCTTTTGTCAACTTATCAGATCTACCGCGTGCACACCAGAAGATATGGAAACATGGGAAGTGGCGACTTACCACTATCTCACCATCAGCTGCATATGGCTGGAAACATTGCAGTCTTGCGAATATCTTTCGATCAACATTAGCTTGCATGGCCTTCTTGTTTAACGCGTTGGCGTGTCCACTGCGCGCGCATCTGCGCGCCAAGCATCGCTGCTTCCTCTCTTACTGCATCACAGGGCCTCACCTTTCCGCGCTCCTTCTTTGAGTCGTCTCCCTCACCTGGTCCAAATATCTCTGCTTGTTCTCTAACCCGATACAAGCTTCGCAAGCGCAAGTGAGGGACGCAATGTCCGACCCAAAGACCCAGGCGTTTAGTCTGGCCATCCTAGAAGCATATGAAGCTTCCAAATCGGTTATTGGAGCCAGCTGCACTGTCACAGCAAACACTGGTAAGTTACAACACTTACAGTAAGATATTGATGAGCTACGAGCACAAATCACTGATTTATTCCAGGAGCTACAGCATCTCTTCTACATGACGAACCTCCGCGTCCGAGCCGCGATGTACTGGATATCTTCCCAGGATTGTTACCATTTGTCGCTCGCAATGAGTGGCTCGAGAAATGTAACCAAGAGCTTCTAGATGAAAAGGCAGATAGCGATCAGAAACGCATAGCGGCGGAGGTGAAGCTCGCTGCTATTACTCTGGAGATGAAAGAGACGTTAAAGGAGATCGAGAACAAAACAATGGCCCTGAAGAAGTGTGAAGAAGAACTCAGAATCAAGACACTCAAGACCAGGCGAAACTTTCCCACCGTGCGACCTAATGCGGACATTTACGATGCCATTCAGTCCTTAGGCGACTGGATGGAAGATGGTATGCACCATTTCAACAATCTGGCAGCCGGCAAGGATAGACTAGAGCAAGCAGTTGAATGATGGGAAGCTAAGTACTGCGAAGCCACTATCAAGATCATCAAACTGCAAGCACACGTTCACGCGGAAAAGGAAAAGCATCGTAAAAAATACTCCAGGCAGATGAGGGTGCTCAACGAGAATGCGGAAGAATTGAAACAATCAGCTACTAGACACGTAACAATTGCACGGGCTCTAGGAGAGGAACGTGCTGTCTTTGATGAAGAGCAAGAGAAGTGGCGTATGCAAAAGGCTCAGGAATTAGAAGGTACCGAGCTCGAAGCTGTGCAAGAGCTGTGGCTTTCTACTCAAGAGGAGAGGGTAAAGGCTGAAGTAAAAAAGCAAACCGAAATTGAAGTTCAGAGGACAATGGAACCCCATATCCGTGCTGAGTGTGCCAAAGCACAAGAAGAGGGTTGAAAAGCAGGCTACGTGGCAGGAATATATGATGGTGTAAAAAAAGGGTCACCTCGAAGGTCAAGTATATGCTGCAACTATATGGAAGGAGAGAGTCACATCTGCTGAGCAAGCGTCACGGAACAATAGCTATACCGCTGGTCGAGCTCAAGGTCACGCTGATGGCAGAAGGGAAGGTTATAACGTTGGTATATCCGATGGCTTCACTATTGGATTGGCAGCCGGCGAGGGAGAAGGAGCCAGAGAACGTGGCGAGACAAATCAGCAGAGTTATGAGAGGGGTCAGGATGAAGGACACCCTCAGGGCCACTACAAGGGTTACGCTAAAGGCTTCGCTCAAGGTCTTGATGCATTTGGACAGGAAGAAGGCGGTATCGCCTGAGATTATTGGTCTTGCATGGCTGAGCCTGGATCATAATCCATTCGGGAAGTAAAATGTCACATTCCGCTGAAGGACCCAAAACTTCATGCATTAATGTATCAATTCAGAGACCAATGTTCTCAGAATTATAACTTTGAGGCCCTAAGCTTCGTACTATCAACCCTTCTGCCTTCGTCATCGTGCTCCTTGACCCGCAAGTTCGGAAACTTTGCCGGCATAATTCTTCTTGGTTTACTTCCCTCCACCAAATTGTATTTGTCAAAATCATTAACACCCTTCGTCCTCAGAAAGTCCTCATCAAGCAATAACTCGCCATTTACCTCCTCCACAGGCGCCTTGATCATCTGTAACACTGCGTCCGAGAAGATATGCGCAGTCCTGAGATCCTTAGCATCTTCACCTCCTATATTCTGCGTTGCAGCACTCTGAACAGCCGTCGCAGGCCAGATGCTCGTAACTGCCATGTCACTTTTTCCTTCCCTCTGGAAATCCATTGCTAGTCCCTTGGTGAGAATAGACATGCCCACCTTGCCCATTGCATACGCCGTCTTGCCGCGGAAGAAGCGCGAGTAGATCGGTGGACTGACGACGATAATACGACCTTTCCAGTTTCCACCAATCTGTTCAAACTGCGGAAGACAGGCTTGTATGACGCCATATAAGCCCTCTACATTCACGCGTTGCATGAGCTGGAAGCGCTTCATAGGCGTTTTGGCCACGCTTGCCCACCATATTGCGCCGCTGTTGTATACCAACACATCAAGACGGCGGTATTTCTCTATTGTTTTGGCCACCATACGTTGAATGCTTGTGAAGTCTCGTGTGTCAACGGTGATGGCTGTGGCTTCGCCACCTGACTCATGGATCTCGCGACAAACGGTAGAGATGGTGGACGCCGAGGAGTTTGGGTCGGGCGGAAAGGGAGAGCACTTGGAAGCATCGGATGTGGATTTCGCTGCTACGACGACTAGCTCGTTGTTAGTATTCCTGCTCTGTGGAGGTTGAGGGCTGTTGTGATGCGTACCTGCGTAACCATCTTTCGCGAGGTCGATGGCGATTTGCCGACCGATACCCCGAGACGCGCCAACGACGAGCGCGACTTGTTTGTTGGACTTGGACATGGTGGAGAAGGGATACAGTTAATTGCAAAGGTGTTGTCGCGTAGATAGAGTCGCAGCTTGCGGCGGACAGTATAGGCAACTGTAAAGCCTAAGTAGACATGACATTGTAGTCAATTCTCATCATCGGTGCCTCGGTTGGTGCACATCATGCTGCATTTACGTCCGTAGGAGTCGCGCGGCGAGGATCCGGGGTATCTGCATCATTCACGACTCAAGAGGTGGAGGCGTGGTGCTGATTAGTGATAGAGCTCTCATAGCTACGCTAACAGACCTCGGCAACCAAGACCTTGTGCGGTCCCAACGACGACGCGCATAATAAGACACGACCGACGTCTTCGAATGCCAGGTTCAACGTGATTTCTCATCCTGTGGCTAGAAGCATTGCGAATATGTCAAGCAAAATTACGTGCTATCTGGACTGCGGTATGCTCCTACCATTCTCCTGATCTAAGAATCACATGCTAATTACGGACTAGTGTCGCCATACTCATACTACGCTCTACTGCATATTGAGAGAAACAGACAGGTCCTCGAAGCGCACAATGTAGAGATTGAGTGCGTACCCATTGCCATGCCGGCTCTCAAAGCCAATACCATGAACTGAAACCCTACCAACCAGTGCACGCTCTCATCAAAAGCAAGTATACTCACTGACTTGATGTAGTATAGTACCCGTCTTCCTAGGCGGCATCAACGTCGGCAGCGGTACGTATCCCCGTCCCCTTCCATGCACTCCACATGAAAGTCCGGTACTAGCTATACCGAACGTGTCCTGACGCCGCAGTGCAGGAAACAAGCCACCCTGGAGCCTTGACGCAAAAGCGAAGTACGGCGCATACGACAGCGCGCGAGCGAAGAAACAGTTCGGCCTTCCTAATCTACAGTCGCCGGATTTCTTCCCTATTCTCTCACTGCTACCACAGCGGGCATTATGTGCTGTGAAGGAAGCGCATCGAGCGGAATTCATCAACATCTTTTTTGACATATTCCACGCTATGTGGGAGGACGGCAAGGATGTCAGTAAGCCGGAGATCCTTTTAGAAGTACTTCAGCTGCGTCTCAAAGCAGACGAAGCCAAGGAGATCGTTGCCAAAGCAAATAGCCCGCCGTACAAGCAGAGGCTGAACGACAATACCAAGGAAGCGCTCGACCATGGCGCTTTTGGTTGCCCATGGTTCTTCGTACGCAACTCCAAGGGGGAAGAAGAGCCGTTCTTTGGTAGTGATAGGTATGTGTCTTCTTCACTAAAATTCACTTGTCCGTATCTTGACTGGCATCCTCGTATGTCCGGCTATGCATAGAGCGGGCTGGACCTCTATGCACATCGTCACGTCAGTCAAGGCGCTCACCCTGGGAAGTGGGGGTACCGCTGTATATCCAGGATGTGATGCGAACTATTGAAACGCGACCAATCGATGGTCAAGAGCTGTGGGGCGTGCTGACAGATCTACCATACAGATTTCATTATATGTGGGAATACCTGGGGCTGCCATGGAAGGACGTCGAGCTGTTGCCACCGGGTAAGGCGAAGGCGAAGATCTGATGGACAGGCATTATCGGGGTGGCTTGCAAGCATGTCGGTATGTAGTTATTGTGGAAATGGGGCGCCAAGCCGCGTGGTGGATAGCTGTGAACATGCATCAGACAGGTCTGCGACTCGAAGAAAATGTCTTTCCGTTCTCAAGTCTTCTTACCTCTTTCTCGTCTTTTCATCGAGGTCTCACCCTGCTCAAATGTCTCACTCGCCTTGCACTCGCCTGAGGGATCGTCTTTCCGACCACATTGTCCTCACACACGCTATGCATGCTGTACGGTTGCGGGTTTGTACCACTCACGACGAAGCATGGTGGTGTAGCCACCGGAGGCGGGTACACGCTTCCCCAGACTTATGCAATAGTATGCAAGATAAAGTCTACGCGACCTGTCAGGGCGATACCATGCGCCATCCGAGAGGATTCGCGGGGCAGAGCTGCGCATGTCTCACCCGTTCCACGATCTTGCGGTCGCCTGGGCAGACGGTCGCTCGACTGTGGCCTCCCGATGGCATCAAGTAAATTGGAGAGGTCGGGAGTATATCGGTCCAGGTATCAGTTATCGCCCTCCGCCAACGTACGTTGAAGTGCGTAAAGCATCTAGCCGATGTTGGGACTATGTTGATGAATTCACTTACAAGCTTTCACGCATTCACCAGTGGTGATGAGCCGAGACGAAAGCTTTGTCGGGGTGAGACTCTCTGGAGCCGTGGAGATTCTGATGGCTACATTTACTGATTGGGGAGCTTCTTGTGTAACGTCAGCGTCATCGTCGACAACACCTGTAGTACTCCAGAGGCTCCTATCAGTCCAGCGAACAACATAGCATCAGATTGCATACGTATCTGCAAACCTGCACACCATGACATCTTAGCTGGTCGCATGCTTGTGATTTAGACACGATGGCTTGTTGCCAAGCTATGTCATGCAGATAACCGTTCGCTTCCGTAGGCACGTCAGCCAAACAAGACGACGTAGGGCATTTCTCGCCAGCTCAGCTAGCACCGAACAAGCAATCCTGCTCGGCTCGACGGTTGACGAGTCGCCGTCATAGGCCTAATCAACCGCGAAGTGAGTGGGGTGTAGACCTATACAGCCGTGCGGCATGTGCTATTTGCCTTCTTTGAGCTAGCCACGTTGATCATTTCACAGTATCGGAATGGCAGTGCTGTTGCTTGATGGGAAATATACTTGCTATCAGGAACGCCTTCATATGCCCGACATATTTGCACAGCTGACGAGCGATCTAGCCTATACGGATAGCCAGTCATTTTCCCGTATGGTTTCCAGGCTGAAAAAGACTGTGGGTCTATCCGAAAGCTCAGGCCTTTCCCTCCCGTGTACCGTTGTATAGCAAGACATGGGTGCTGCGATACTTCAAACGCAAGTCTCATCGCTCAGTCAAGGGAGCTGGGGCTGTCTTAGTTTATAAACATACGGGAACGTCCCTCACTTCTCTACATCAGAACAGATGTGATTGGAGCTGTTTCGTCAATTGGCTTCGGCTTCATCCTTGCTCTTTGTCTTGTTAGTGCACGATTCAAGTCGACAGTTCATCTTGTGCGTTTTCTTTGCCTGCTACCCAAGATACTCGTTCCACAAGTCAGAGTACGCCGATAGATACTCTAGTGTGTTTGTACATGTTCATGCGATCATCGCCCCCCATCTTTGGGCTGCTAATAGTTTCCGGGAGATCTCGTGGCATTTTCTGGTAAGGCCGCACTCACTTCACGTATCGGTTTTGACTTAGCGTACTGATAGTGCGTATTGATCAGATACCTTGCATCGTCTTACCATTGCGTTGTATAGATAGTTGAAATAGCTTTGCCTCTTCCCTTTTTGGAGCCGGTCATTCACATCGTCAAGTTTGGTAATTACAACATCGGTGTTGTCGTCGACCTAGCTCGGCAGAGCTCCGTACTGGCTCGATTTCCGTCGTCCCACCGCTCGATTCTGTGAAGCGGTCAACTGCATTAGGCGAATGACAGAGCGCCGCGCTCGTGAATGCTCAAAGTACCCGTGGACCTCGACATCTCCACAACACCCCGCAATCATCAGTCACGCCCACTTCACCGCTGCGGTATCTCGCCCTCTACGACCTCGCGTAACTGCACATTCACGTCGACCAGAAGGATATTGTAAGATTAGCGGCCATTGTAACATCTTTAAGAGGCGCATGCCGCGTGTGGACTCATGTCTCTCGCTCAACAAGTCCACCAGGATTACAAGTTCGACGAACAATATATCTATCGTCAGTCTCTTGCACAACTCCAGCCCTGTCTGCCTTGTGCCCCAGAAGCTTCTCCGACAAACCACACCTTCGACTTCCATAACCGCACTGGAATGATGGCGCAGTCAATGGCCGTAAGTGGACTCTTTGCTGGAGATGTACGTAGACTGACAACCGTGGAGGAGAGTTCTTACATGCAAACTCAGCCATGGGGAATGCAACAGGTCGAGCAGGACGACGCGAAACCGATGATCACATCCAGCCCAAGCATCCACACGTACTCATCCGGCCAGAACTGGAGTGGGGCATATGATACTTCGTTCGACTGGCCCCATGCTCTTCAACAGGCAGCAACCTTCATCGCACCAAATTCAGAGTCGCACTTCCAACAAAACCACGCTCTGGTATACAATGCAACATTTGCTACACCGAATGCGATTGGAAAGGGTTACGGCGATGAACGAAGAGCTTGTGTGCCTGCCGAACTGAATGGTTTGCCTCATGGGCTTATCGACAGGTCTGTCCTAGGTGCGAGCATGTTCCCGTCACCGAAGAGTTATGTCAGCGATGAATTCGGGAACACATACAGTCCAGTTTCTATGTTAGACCAATCCTCACCAACCGAGAACTGGAATGGATACCCAGTAACGACCAACAACGCTGTTCTTTCGGCACCTTGCAGGCCGTTCCTTGCGCAAAAGACCGATAGTGATGTTGGGCTCTCAGGAATCCCAAGGACGAGCGCAAGCACGGTTATGACTCCCGTCGTCCCGTCTAATGGCTCTAGCAGGCAGGACCTAATACTAATTGCTCCGCTCGACGACGACCAACAGTCCGGATCTGGGTACTCGCATTCACAGAACAGCAGCGCTGGGCACTCTCCCTGGTACCGCGCGAAACAGTCATATGACACTTCGAACGCACCCTACAGGTCCCGTAACGTTGCAATTTATAGCAATCCCAGCAGCGATACGAGCCTATTACCGACATCAGGACCTCGTCCCACCCAGCACTGCTTAACGCCTTGGAACGGCTCGCGCCCGAGCGCCCATACTCAGGATCGTATACAGGACAAGTTTCAGGTACCGCGCAGTGCTGGTGCACAAGCCCAGAGAGAGCACAACGACCAAGTGCTCATTGAGGGCAAAAGGAGAGGAGAGACGTACAAGGAAATCAAGCTCAAGATGGTGGGCGAGAAGCCTGCGGAGTCCACTCTGAGAGGTCGCTATCGGTCGCTGACAAAGGCGAGGAAGGATCGGGTCCGAAAGCCCGTCTGGACTAAAGTTGACGTAAGCTATCCCCTGTAGACTCTACTCCATGTGTAGCATACTAACGCACCAGTAGTTGGAGCTTTTGGATGACGCTGTCCAGCGAGAGTTCGATCGGATCGAGAGCAGCCTACAGAATCCGTACTCGTTAAGCTTCGACCAGAAGATCCTGAAAGTTGCATGGAAGAAGGTCGCAGAGTTTATCGCCGACAGTGGTGGCTCTTATCATTTCGGCAACGCGACTTGCAAGAGGCGATGGCTAGAGCGCCATCCGGATCAGAAGTGATGGATGATAGCTGCAGGTCACGAGTGGTACCATTGACACACCTTCATCGTCTAGTGCACTCGATGGATGTCGAGTACTGCTGACATCGAAGATCTGAGGCTTGAGCATCGGAGTCCCTCAAAGCTGCAAGATACCGTTGCCAGTGATTAGTCGTCAAGGACAGCCACAGAGGGCACTCGTCTCCAGCATTTCCGCCGAAGATTGCCGCAGGGCGGTATCTTCGATTCTACTGTTTGCAGAGTTTTGCTTTCACCACTGTACCACTTTGTACTATTGTTGTTTTGATGGTAATGTTTGTCGAGATGATTTTTCTAGTTCCTCATGGGCATAAGAAGCCAGCGTGGCATAGATTGGGAAGCTGCAAAGCAGGACGGTCATATGGCGTCGCTCTGAAGGTTTCTTGTAGCAAGTTTCCTTACGATACGATATCTCTGGTATGATATACTGTACAAGAAAACACTGATGACAGCCTACGCATGCTGTTCGGCGAATGTGGTGAAAATGATGAAAGAGTGTTGATGCCATGAAGTGTGACATCAGTTTTAGGCTTTGGCGCTAACTCCGAGCTCGAAGCTTTATGCTCCAACCATCCACCCCACCCAGCGCTGGTACTCCAACACCAATGAAAATGCTGCTCGGACTACCTGAAGCTCTTTCTAGCATTACGAAGCGCAAGTTTGAGGCTGCAAAGGCATCTTCAGATTTGTTGTTCTCGCCTACGGAGCTAGCAATCATCCGCACATCCGCAGGCATTCCCGTACGTGTGCCGGCCATGCCACCGACAGCAGACTTATATACGACCAGTTCCAACTACGCTATTGCCCATCGCTTGCGAAGAAACCCTTGCCGAAGCTCCAGCATGCTACGCCGAAACAGAAGATCGACCCCTTCGAGAATCCCCCACCAGCATTACACCTGGCTGACATCCCCGCCGCGGACCCAACCCACTTCCTCGTCCTTAACAAGTTCCCCATAATCTCCGAGCACTTCATCCTTGCTACAAAACCGAACAAGAAACAAACACACGCGCTAGAGCTAGACGATCTAGAGGCGACCTACGCTGTGCTGAAGGCTTGGCAGACAGACTCAGGCGACAGCGAGAAGCGTCTCCTCGCATTCTTCAACTCTGGAGATCATAGCGGCGCGTCTCAGCCCCACAGACACCTGCAGTTCTTGCCAGTCGAGGGAATGCGCGATAGCGATAAAGCTAGCGACTGGAGTCTGCTTATAGACTTGATCTTTTCAAGCCCAGTGGCCAAGGCGACTGGTAGGCGTCTCTGTCAGATGCGCACTGTGCAGCAGCTAATATTCTGTCTACAAGGTCATCTCAAGTTCTTACAACACCCGTCCTTGCCCTTCACGCACTTTGCCTATCCTTTCGACTCGGAGCCAACTGGTGCTCAGTTATTCGAAATCTACAACCATCTGTACGATGCGGCAAAAGCGGCAGTCGACACATTCATCTCCTCGAATCCGAACGACTTCGCTCTAAACCCTACCGACGATGGCGATCTACCCATCAGCTACAACCTCGCTATGACTACCTCGGGCATGGTCATCTTGCCGAGACGTGCTGAAGGCACCATGCTGCGTCGTGATGACGGTAGTGAGATCGGCTTCGCAGCTCTCAACGGTACAACGTTGGGAGGCACGATGATGGTCAAGCACCAAGACGAATGGGACATGCTGCGCCAAAAGCCAGGGCTGCTGGATCACATTCTCTCTGGGATTGGCTTTCCAAAGACCTCTCCATCGAAAGTGGGCGCACCGAACATCTGACCAGACTTCGTGCAAAACCACATGAGTCGTGACTAGCCAATCTTCCAGAGTTGTTTCTAGCCGACTCTCAAGCTTCCCTGGAGAACTACACCAAGAATATCACAAATAGGCTCCTAGATTGACGAGTGATACCATGGTCACCATATGAGATGCGAATGTCTTACGAAGCGACGCGCACGCGACAAAGACTGTGGCGCATGCTCTGACCTCCCAAAGATAACACCGAAAACGATCGTCTAAGGAAGCTGAACCTTGAAAAATTACTGAAAAGCTGCTTGCGACCTTGCTCGCGGTATTTATTCCATGCGAAATACTCAACTTCTACTATGCGATAGGTTGTCCTGATAACATAGGCCTGTGTTGTGAAAAAGCTTGGGTAAGTCGTTGAGTGCCAGACACCACGTGCAAAGGTGAAGTCATGCGACCACTCAGCACTGAATCCAACAAGTACTCATGATGTATCAAATGCGAACACAAACTTTCCAGCTGAGCAAAAAGCAACAATGTGTCTCAAAATAGGAATGACTGTTTGACTGTAAGCCTTTGCGGCGCAAGGTTTAGGTGCGCATTTTCACCGGTATTCTTCTTCCTCATCTCATACTCCCTATACACTGAATTTCGTTCATATCGTCATCATGAGAGAAGAAACAGAGAAAACAATAGAGGCAGTATGCGTTAAAATGCTTCTCACAAATACAGACCAAGTGCTGATTAGACTTGCCTAGGCCAAAGGGCTACTACAAGATCTTGTGGTGGTCGTGTCTCTTGTGCGGACCTTGACGGATTCTTTCGGGTCTGCGAGTGACTTGTATCGCAAACTCAAGCGTAAAGCCGGCGCAAAGGATAGCGACGATGAAGACGATAGATCTCACATCCAGATCCCTTCGCGAAGGCGTCGTCGCGACTCTATGTTTGGTTCGGGAAAGAGCAAGGGAGACTACAGTGACAGCGAAGAAGAGCTTATCTTTACCTCCTCTTCTCAGATTCGAGCCGAATACGAACGCGGATATCGAAAGCTAGGAGAGCCTTTCGCGCGCGGTGATGGTACGTTCACGTTTAAGATCTAGCCTTCCGGTATTGATAGCAAATAGTTACAACGCATACCCAGCTTCAATCTCAGATCATCAAGCTTCAGCAGACAGTCCTCAACATTCAGCAAGACCTACTGCTTAGTACGTATCTCGCACCGTCATCGTCTCATTCGCATCTTGTGCGTCTAATCCAGGCAACTCGGACGACGCGCGCGGCCTCCATCGCCTCATTGAACATGCAGTACCAGCGCATGCTGCCGCCACTTCCATCACCACTGCCCCCTCGAGGGCCTGATCCGCCGTTGAAGGTTCCCGGCGCATTTCCACAACCTGATCACCCACGACCACCTTCAAGGCCTCCTCTCCGGCACAAGAAACGCATGAGCAGCAGCAGCTCTAGTTCCTCCAACGAGTCAGAAGAGAAAGTAGTCAAGATACTGCCAGTCCCAGGGCCCAAACCAAAGCCCAAACCAAAGCCTATGCCTCCCCTTCAGGCCCCAGCCCCATCTTCACGGTACAGCACCAGATTGTTCTGCATCTACGCAAAAGACCTCCAACTCAGCCCACGGCTCCACCTCGCCAATGCTTACAAACCCGGCGGAAACGGTAAATGTCCCTTTTGCCGTACACACATCACCATCCAACCAGGAAAAGCCTGGGAAATTGTCGTCGATGGCTGTAGTAGGAAAGTAGGGCAAGGTTTTGTTGAGATCGCGTCTCGAACATTTCGCATCAGAAATCGCTTCATTGTGAAATGTCACAGGGACACTGGAGGCTTTGCGTGCGTACTTTGCGCAAGATTCAAGGAATCGGATACAGTGTGTAGGGGAATTGAGTCATTGATGGATCATCTCTGGAGGGAGCATACGAGTGAGGAGTTGGAAAGGGATGTGGATATAGTGGAGATTTCCAAGGATGCTTGTTGAGTGGCGTTCATGTTTTTCGTTTCTGCGATAGTTTTGTGTTCTTAACGATACCCTTGTAATTCGCTGCTGCTGTATTCGACGATCATATCTTAAGATCTATAATATATTTTGAGCGTTCCATAAACTACATATACCATTCTTGCACAGTGTAGTCGCCGCATATAATAGGAGGTCTACATGAATCTTACACATGAGCACTTACAAAAGGCATGTTCTTGTGAGTTATCCATGCTTTTGCACCAGTAGATATGGTTCAGATTCGTAGCAGGTGTTCTTATAAGACACCGACCTCAGTTGCATTTCGTACCTACAGACTACAGTACTTAAACTAATATGCATAGAAAACATTAACGCCATCCCTTCTCAACCTCCGATTCGTCACCTGAAGCCACGCTCTAAGCGCCCAGGCCGATGCAATACACGCTCCTGCAAATGCCGCATTGCTACTCATAGCAATCACATACTTGGGCCCATCGCTTGCAGGATACAGGTAAGGAGTGTAGATAAAGCTAGCCATAGAGACCACGTTCACTATGGATAGTGACACTGCTTTTTTCTCGGCTGTCTGGCCAAGTGTGCCTGATACCCATCCGAGGATGACGGAGTTGACAGAGTAAACACCTGTAGTATTGTGCGTTAGTTGCTAGAGCGTGGACGGGAGTAGACAGGAGTGACGAACCGGAAGCAAAAAGGAAGCAGGAAATGTAGCGTGCGGCGGTGTTGAGCGTGGCAGCACTAATAGCAAATCCGACGACTGCCAGTCCCATCATGGCTGTGATGTGCCATGTTCTATCGTTGTATTTGCCAGATGAGATTCCGATACCGATACCTACTGCACCAGCGACTAACGATGGTGGAGCAGTCAAGACCAACGTGATAGTGGTACTGAAGCCCAAAGACTTGACTACGGTAGGGAAAAACTGGGTAAGGTTAGCAGGTGTTGTATAAAGTTGAGGACATGTTCCATGCGACATACCTGGTTGAAGGATGTGGCGCTCAAATGCATATTCTGCATGAAGACCAGTAGATAAAGTCTTGGGTCTCGCAGAGCTTGCATGAAACCAGCTTTGACACCTCTGCTTTGTTCCAGGCCAACAGTATCCCTTTGTATGCGATCGTGCGCCAGTTGTCGTTGCTCCGGGGTCAGCCACCTCGTGGTCAGCGGCTCATCCGGCAACAAGAAAGCACAGACGATAGACACGCCCACTGTGACGATGCCCTCGATAATGAACAGCCATTGCCATCCATGCATTCCGTGCTTGTCGTCCAGCGTCGCAAACGTGGCAGCGGCGATGAGCCCAGCAAAAGACACAGCAAAGATATTCCCGGCGTACAAGATAGAAACCCTTGTAGCTATCTCTTTGCGGGTATAAAACATGCTCAAGATGTACAGAGCACCAGGGTAGAATGGCGCTTCTACGAAACCGAGGAAGAAGCGTACCAGGACCAACCCAGTGTAGTTCTTGACAAGAGCTGTCAGAGCTGCTACACAGCCCCAGACTGAACAACAGATGGCCATGTACAGAGAAGGTCGCACTTTCTTAGATGACATGAGCATGTTGCTGGGGATCTGAGCGAATAGGTATCCAACGTAAAGGATGGATATACAGGTGTTGTATTGGCTTCCGACTAGGCCAAGGTCGTCTTCGAGGCCGTTCAGTCGTGCATTCGCTATCGCATTCTGGTCGAGCTTGTTGCTAACACCGACGTGATCAGCAGCTTCTTACAGATGAGGTTACGAAGTTTGGATGACTTAGTGACGTACAGAAAATACATGCAAAAGAGTGCTGGCATTACTCGCATGTCAAGCTTGCGTACCAGTGCGATCTCCGCTGGATCCGTTTTCGCGATCGCACCACTATAATCTGCGCCATCGAGCGCAGATTGGGCTTTGAGATCCTTCTCCGATGTTGCGACATCATCGATTTGCAGTGGTACGTTTTTCTCGGTATCCTCGTAATGGTTGGGGTTGGTGCTGGCCATCTTTGACAGTGGTCAAAAGTGCAGGTTATATGTTTAAGTCATATGCCAAAGCTCAACTTGATTTTTCGATGAGAAACGAGATGATTGATAATTGCAAGGAAAGTCTTTGCTATATACCCCAGCTGGACGAATGTTGCCCAGAAAGTCCACGACCAAGCTTGACCCCGGACTTTCCCCAGACCCCAAGTTCTTCGTCGCGAAGCGGAGGAAACATGGGGAAAACGAGGGCGTTCGCATCATCCGCTACCTTTGAGAAGAGTCCAGTGGAAAACCCTAATAATTGGCCGTGAGAACCGTCGGCTTCTCCAGGGTGGAGAGCGGCTTGCGGCTGGTGGACACTAGTTCGGACAAAGTCAAGTCCGGGGTACCTTAGCCGTCCATCGGGCGTCCTATAGGCGCTATATCGGAACAATCCAAGTCCATACTACTCGTACGACACCAAGACTGGTCCAAAATCGCATGTCGGAGTGAGTTCTCGCAGGACTACTGCGGACTTACCCAAGTCCGCGTCCCGAACGCGCGCTCGAGATGGAGCACGAAGTGACACACGGGAGTGAGATCGCCAAACGGTTGCCGCTCGGCATTCATGTGCGACGGATAGCGAAATACATATAGTGCAGGTAATCAGTCCAAGTCTCATCATCATCAAACGCAAACCAACACACTCCATTCTCATCCACAATCAACTCTCACTTCCTACCTCAACACCAACACTTCCCACCACTACAATGGGTTCAATGCCTGAGGTCAAGCAAGCTCCCCAGATTGACCTAGCAGGTCTCGTCCCTGCGCCGGTTACCCCATTCAACAAGGATGGCTCGGTCGACTACGCAGCCATTCAGCGCCTTGGCTCATGGCTCGGCAGTATCCCAGGCGTAAAGGGTCTGGTGGTCCTTGGACACGCTGGTGAGGGCACCTTCTTGACTCAGGAAGAGCAAGTAGACGTCATCAAGGCCTTCGTCAAGTCCGTAGACAACAAAATACCCATCATCGCTGGTATCACTACCGAGGGTACTGAAGTGGCTGCGCTCGAAGCCCAACGCGCAAAGGCTGCTGGCGCACAGGCAGGTCTGCTTTACCCCAGCCATGGTTGGCTACGCTTCGGATACCAACCGGGAGCTCCACAAGACCGATACAAGACCGTGTACGAGAAGTCTGGACTTCCCCTCATCTTGTTCCAATACCCCGACAACACCAAGGCTACCTACAACTTGGACACATTACTTGAGATTGCCGCGCAACCTGGTGTTATCGCTATGAAGAACGGTGTCCGCAACATGCGCCGCTGGGATGTCGAGATCCCCATCATCAAGAAGCAAAACCCCGATTTGACAATCCTCACATGCCACGACGAATACCTGCTGCACACGTGCTTTGACGTTGACGGCATGCTTGTCGGATATGGCAACATCGCCCCCGAGCCGCTGCTGGAGATGATTGAAGCCGGTAAGGCACGGGACTACCCACGCGCGAGGGCTGTTCATGACAGACTGCTCCCAGTCACCAGAAACGTTTACCATCGGGGCTCGCACATGGAGGGAACCGTTGCACTGAAGCATGGTCTGGTGGCGAGAGGTATCCTGGAGCACGCAACAGTACGGAGTGGTCTCTTGCCATTACAGGATGGCGCGGAGCAGGAGATTCATGCGGCGTTCAAGTCAGCCTCTTTGGGAAAGGTAACAGCGCCGAAATCAGGTTGATTAGATGTTGGCCTTCTTGCATATGTTCCAATAGTAGCTCAATGGAAATTTTGATCGTAATAAAGAGAATTGCCGGCCATTCCAGAATCATTTCCAAACCAGTAATTGATGTCTTCACCATTAAAAAGATGCATGATCTCCTCGTTGGGTAATGGGTTATCAGAATATTGTTGCGCAATACCAAGGAAGTTGCCTGCACCCGCAAGGTAGTCAGTTCCTAGGCTGTTGGCAGCTTGCACATCCGTGTGATGCAGGTTGACGTTCGGGAAACTTGGCTCGTTCGCTGTGTTCGTAAAGGTTGTAGAAGAAGATACCGCATGTGATTGGTTGTTCAATCTCTGCGGCTGTCCTATTGGAGTATTTATGCCTGTCACTGGATTGGGTCGTACTGGTGTATGATTTGCCAAACGAGCTTCTGATGTTTGTCGCTGAGCTGGCAAATTACCAACCCCAAGCGAAGAGTTACGAGTTGAACGAACTGCCGTCCGCGAACTGTCTCCAGACGTGTTCGTGGGGCCCCGATTCGATTGCTTGTCCAGTCGCGCAGCAAGGTTCTGGACGGCGACGATGCATGCATCTGGCCAACTCGTACCCCTCGAAGATAAGTGCTTAAGGATTTGCACACTTCGATCTGACAGCCTCAGTGCGATGTCGCGCGAGACTTGTTCCTCTGCAGCCGCGGACAGAATGATGAACGTACTCATCCACACTGCCCAAGTAAATGAGGGCCAGAGCAGAGGGGTTCTCTCATACCCATGTTGACCAGGTGAGCCATCGAACGCCCCAAACCCGCGGAGAGCTTTATGTAATGTGTTGATTATAGAGCGTGAGGCTGATATGCATCGTTGTAGCGCCGCATTGTATGCTGCGTTCTTCTTCGATGTCGCTAATACTGAGCGATGCAGAGCGAGGACCGACTCAAAGCGAAGGACAATAAGAGTGACTTGATGTGTTTTGGATATAGTCTGTGTTTGTTGGTCATCGGAGAGGTGTTCATCGACCGTGTTCCACCATTTGGTGTGCTCGGCTTCTACTTCAAGGGCTTGGTCGATATCGTCGGTGCTACCATGTAACATAGATTGGTGTCGCGTTTGCATGATAGACCCACGAATATCAGCGTGTCGAGCGAGAAAGTCCAGCAAGTCTAGCCGGTTATCTCGCTCGAGGTCTAGAGAAGAATTAGCCTTGGCACATTTGAAATCTAATTTCTTGCGTACATACCCTCTGTTTGAGGCTCCGATTCAGTATGCTGCTCCGTGTGCGGATAACAGACATTGGACTCATCCAACCTTATCCCTAGTGGAGTGCCGAGCCGTATGCATATGTGTCTATCGATGCAGATTACGGACCAGAAAAGTCGTTTCCTTAGCTCTGCTTCTTTGCTTGGTATTGGTAGTTGCAACGGACAACGATGTAGACCTAACTGGAAGGCCATACGAATAGCCAAGCCTTCTAGACGGGATGCAGCATTATACCTGTGCATCGTAATCAGAAACAATTGAACGCTGACAAGAGCTTGTAATGAGAGAATAGAGCTCTCCTCGGTTAGCACCAATTGTACGCTCCGGATGGCATCGTTGATTGAATGGAAGACAAGGATTGCAGGCATCAGTTTGCTGGCAGGGCTCATCTGTCGTCGATCATGGATAGATATTGACATGATCGAGCGCACTATAATGTGTTGGAGTTCGTTTGATGTAGATTGACCTGCGATGCGAACGCCTCTCTGCGCTATCTGACGAAAATAGTCGAGGAGTGAGGGCGCGTGGAGGAACGGAAAAGCAGGATGCCAATGGTCGAAGTAAGACTGGCTCCATTCGAGAAGGTCGTCAAAAGCAATCGTCGGCGTGACGCTCTCTAATTCAAGCGGACGTACTTCGTCCAGTTTCCAGAGCCATCTTGACGCACTTTTTGCTGCGCCTGCAGGTAACTGATCATCTTCTCCAGGCGCAGCATCACTCTCTGGCGTATCGACATGACGAACAGACGCCTGGTTTGCTGCGACATTACCTGCGCTGGATGGAGGTCTGAGGTTACTTCCAGGGCTGGTGCCAAACGTGTTGCGATTATGATCCTGAGGGCTCGTTCCTTCAGTTCCGAATTCCCGAAGCTGCTGACCCATTGTCTGAAGATACGCTCTGCGTTTCCTCACAGCACCGACATCGGGCGCCGCTGTGTTGGATTCCGACTCATCATGATGAGCCTGTCGCTTGTTGGACCTCACGGTGGCTTCGGCCATCATCTATGCGGCAGTCCCAAACACATCAAGCTTGGGACATAAGCTGCAGCCGTATTATGACTAGTGCAGTTGCGATGATGTCTGCCGAGGCCGACGCGAAGTGAAATGAGAATGGAAGAGGCTGGGGTGTGTATGACTTCGGCATTGGCAAGCGCGACGAAGATGACGCTTTAGCAAGCTATGAAGCCAAATGACGTTAGCGTCGTGCGAGTCAGTTCTGGGGGGCTGGAAGCTGATGCACCGTCGAACCATGTTTGACTTGCTACATGCACTTGTTTCTACAGATTCAACTTTCTATATTATGGACCCAGAGAAATCGCTGCCAACATCCAAATACTCTCAGAAATACTTGCGCCACTGTTCCGTGGTTGATGACCGCGAGTGGAGGGCCGTGGTGTGCTGTACTGAAGGTGCCGGACGCTCCAACCTATCATCGTGGTACCCTTCGCTTGCGAAATTCCTCACCGGCGGAACAAGCGCCATGTCCTGAACCTGACCTTGGGTGACCGAAACTGGTTCTATGTTTTCCGATATATCTGGCACTGCCTGCCACGCAGATCGCGTTGGCTGAGGCTGCTGTGCAGGGGGGACGTTCAACCGCTCAATGGCTGATAGTTGTAGATCCTCATACTGTGGCACTGCTGGACTCGACTCAGTTACCCACGGCTCTGTCGATGCTGGGCTGACTTGAGCGATATAGCTAGCGTTTGCTTCGACACCCTTCGTCAAAATGTCTTGTCTTTTGGACCACCAAGATAGACGCTCCTCGTCCGTGTTGAGAGGATGACGCTTCCATTCCTCTACCCTGCTCGACTTAGCCTGCTTTTGTACACTCTCTGCTAACACCCGACGATCTGTATCAGAAAGGCGTTGCGTTTCGATCGGTACCTGGGAGCTGTAGATGGTGGAAAGAAGCTCCAGTACGACGAACTCAGTTTCGAGTAATCGCTGTTCGATGAATGATATGTATCCCGAAGGGATGCCTCTAGCACAACAGTCAACTTCGTCTCCCGCAAATCGCTCTCCTTGTACCTTTTATTGATCGGCGGATACCGACATGAGGTTCCTGCAGATATACATTGCGAGCAGACTGGGAGTTCACGATCGCACTGTGAGCGTTTAGTCAATGTTCTCCAGATTGAAGGTATAGTGTGATGTGAACCTTTGACTTCTTGTTGCGACAGGACTCGCACGCGATCGGATGGAATGCGCCGGTTTCGTTCTAGGTCGTGTGAGAAGGTTGCCAAGCATGATAATCTGGGGTATTTGAGACTACTCACCATGGCATCGGCGCTCCATGGGCACCGCTGGCGACATGCGGTTCTTTCTTCGTGCGCTGCCGGACTTGACTTTGTCCTAGCGCGATACCCCACTAATCGCTCGGAACAGCATGTGCGGGGGCGTTGCTCAGCACACGGGACAACCAGAAACAATGAAGGAAACTTCAGAAAAGATGCGTTTGTAACTTATAAGACAGTTGGGTCATGCGATACCTGGTTGTATTCCAGCATACCCTGCATGGCGCACGTCGTGAGACGTCATCTCAATTCTGGAGTTTAACATCACTCACTCCTTGAGATACCTCAGCCCACTTCTAGTACTTCCAGCCTTTTTCTCAAGCTTCGTCTTCTGCTTCTGAGTGACCGGGAGCGTATGGTTTTCTTCGTTGGTTATTTCCTTCACTACCACCTTTCTCTGCGCTTTACCCGCTACTTTGCCTGCAATAGTGGCTTTCTTGGTCACTTTCTTAGTCGCTGCTCTAGATTTGGTGACCTTTGATTTCGTGGCAGTGTTGACTTTGACAGAAATGACCGCGGCGGGCATTTGGTTGAGAGCTTCTGTGACATCGCCTTCGCCAGACCTGTCAAGTTCATCAGACTCCTCAGCCACGAAGGGAACGGGTCTATCTGAAGTTGCTTGCGCTCTAGTCCGAACAGAGCTCCTCAGTACAGAGGGATTGACAGGTTTCGGGCGTTTGTGATCAGCAGTGTAGTCCTGTTCACTGATACTGCGTTTGCGCTTGGTGAGTTTCTTCGTAGTACCCTTTTGGGTGACGAAGTTGATCGAGTCCGGGGCAATTTGCGGCTTGGAGGACACAGGAGTAGCAGGCTTTTTTGGACGTTCACTTACGCGCTTCTCTATGACTACTTGTGGATGAACGGCAATTTTCTTTGTTGGTGAGTCAGGACTTGGAGGCACAATGCTGACACCGCTCTGACGTCTCGGGCTACGCTCAAGCGATGTCGCGCGCTCCCGATTGATCTTTCTTACTACTGGCGATGTGGTTTGAGCTCTCGATGTAGGTGGCACCAGATTTGTGTGCTTTGTTGAGCTTTGAGGGTGCTTGGAGGTCTGCTTTGTTGGGGTTCTAACTGCAGGTCCTTTCCGAGTAGTGTTTGCGGAACCACGCTGAGAAATGTTACCTATGATATTAGTGCGGGTCTTCGTAGGTGTTGTGTTAACAGCATGACGAATCGCTGTTGGATCTACTGAGTTCCTGTTAGTTCATAGCTACTAAGGAATCTATTGCTTACCTTGAGCGCCCACTGTAAATTTCTCCAAAAAGATTCGGGGAGTATATCGATATTTTCCTTCCGCGTTCACTTCGTCACTGCTCCTGTTAAGATCTTGCACGACTTTTTCAAGACTCTTTTGTGTTCCCAGCCGGTTGACCTCTTCTTCGACCATTGCGCTAGGTTTTGGAAGCTTGAAGCGCGATCCAGACTCATATGGTGGAAGAGTTTTGTACTGCTGAAGAGCAGGATGATCGAAAGATACATTGGTCTCAACAATCTGGCCTTCTGCTTTCATCTGTCTGCCAGATTCTGAGATATCGTAGTTGATTTTGAGACTCTCCCAATGCGCCAGTTGGAAGGTTTCGGGAAACGGTAGCGAGGCTGGATAGTCCTTGTACCAGCTTTCGACTTCGTTGTCCGGACCGCCATATTTGAAAACGCGCTCGCTAGGCACATCATCTCCTCTCTCTGCTGCGGGTCCTTTTGTTGCAGGCACTGGCATGTGAGGCTTGAAGTGAGGCTCATCCAAACTGTCACCTTTCCGGTAAAGTGCTTCTGCTGCAGATGGCGTATAGTATTCTCGTGGTTCCTCTGTACTCTCCGGCATTGATGATTCTCCATTGGACATCGATGGCAAATCTTCTTCTGATGAATCTTCTTGGGCAGCTTTATCAAAATCAAGCTGCGCTTGACTGACCATGTCAAGTACGCGATTGAACAGTTTAATGTCGAAATTGCGTCCTTGTTGAGTAAGTGGCAGGAGAAGAGAATTGTCGATACGGTCAACACGGTCCATGGACGTAGCAGGCGAATCACTACCTCCCTCCTTGACAAGATAGTTAATCGCCTGAGCTAGTCGGCGATCGTTGGTCTCCCGCTGTGTCGGCTCCTCTTTGCTGGTTGAGATAATCTCTTGCAAATCTGCGATATCGATGAAACCCGGAGAATCGGCGGCACCGCGGTCTTGGTTCTTGAACGTCATCATGCGCGATTGGAAGTGGCAAATTTAACCTGAGAAAGTGTGTGCTCGCTGTTAGTTTGGGCACGTTAGCAGACGACAGCTCAATCATGCACATGTAGCAAACAAACCAAGACGTCTATTTTCCAGGTGATTGTCGATTCGACTCGAGTGCAAAACGGGCAGACTATCTTGTTACGAAAGTGAAGGGCATTTGAATGCGAAACAGTGAAGATACGTCTTTGTCACGGTACAGAGGTAGTGGACAAAGACTATCTGAAGCAAATAGTTGTTGTGCTGACCGCAAACGGCCGTCCATCTCGGTACCATACGATGATTGGTACCAGGTGCTGTCTTTTTTGTGCGATCATGGGCTCCCAGCTTCGATGGCGCAGCCATTGTGTTGTAGATGGCCGGCGCTGTGCAACTGCTGCGTGAGGATGGTGGTAACGTCCGTCCCCGCGTAACGGGGCACCCCTTGTGACGGGACGCCAGACATTCCCTGACATAACGAACGCAACAACAGGTCAGAGGAGTAGATAGTCTTAAAACAGTAACCTTGCACTAAGACCTATACTCCTTGCTAGCATTATGTAGAAATAAGTTCTACTTACTGCGCAATACGGTAATCTAGTACAAGCGTCGCGCAACTTCCTCACCTTAGCTAGCAGTAGATGCGTTAAAAGCTTATGCATCTTGCCAAAAATCCGTCAACTTACAACTCGTTATATTGTTATCCTATCCGAGCACTGCGCTTAAGCTCGAGAGGCTGTCGTCCTTCTGTGCTAATTCCAAGTCCGCCTGCCAGAAGCGCCAGATAAGGAGGACCCGCACATCGAGCTGAAAGCAGTTACCGAATGACCTTTTGGCGTCTTTAACCATGGTACCCACGAGGCTGAATCAGAAGAAAGTATCTCCCCCTCATCGTTGCCTGTGCTGAAGGGTGCTAACGGTTCAAAGGGCATGTGGCTGCGCTCATGGCTGAAGACTGTACCAATGATTCGCTCGAACAAAGCCAAAGAGGCTGATTCCTCCACCCAGCTAAGCACCGCACCAGCCCGTGGCGGCGGATCGTGACGTACGCCCTATCACTTACCAAACACCACCCTCACGAGAAAAATCGGACATCTGCTCTAGACCCAGCCAGCGCTGAGTGTTCGATTTCTCTTGTGAGGGACGTAAAGGACGTGAATGACTCACTGGCAATCATGAGGCGGAGTCGAGGTCCTCTAGTTGCCTCCAGCATACGTAACCCAAGTACTCAAGTAGCCGCGGGATTAGACAGGCTACTCTTGTTGAGGTTTATCCATATAACATTGACCCAGCCGGACGTGGTCTATCCTGAAAAGCACCATTCTCTCTTACCTACCTTTGGATCGTTTCTCGTCACTCCTGATAACATACCATAGAATCGAATCCTCTTCTAACAAATACAACCTTCTTGGCTATAAGGCCCAGTTCTGAGATCATACCTTCACTAGAATGGGTACGTTAATGCATTCTGTCCAGGATATTCGTCTGGGTTTGATACTGACAGCGGAGAAGAGGTCACGTCATCCAATCCGGACCCAGTCATCTGGCAATCACTCTTCTGGTGCCTTGCCGGGATCGCCCTTAATTCAATGACCCAGCCTTCGGGAAAGCTCTGCGATGCACCGTCACATATCGGCTTCTGTATGCGGATATCACCCATAATATGCTTCTTCGATGGATCTTGTTTACTTGCGCGTACCATCTTCTATGCTATCAAGTGGCGTTCGTTCGACAAAGCTGCCGAACGCATCATTACGGAGCGTTTCGCCTTCGATGACCCGGATGCAGAGTCCTATGGAAGCCTCATAAAGTCCGCAAAAGCGAGGTGGATCGTGTTCATCTTTTGTGTCGTGCAATCTGTAAAGCTCTTTGCTTTCGGAGGCATTATCTGGTCAAAGGTATGGGCCGCTATGTACCTCTGCTCATTTATCATGACGGAGTTGCTAGTCGTCTTTCCGCGGAAGTGGATTGCAATCCAAACCAATCTAAGCAGAGACGATATGCCCCGGGATCACGGAGTGAGGAGCATTCCTTACATTTCTACGTTCCTGAGCGCAATATTCACACTCTACTTTACAACGTCAGCCGCGTCCTCGATCTTCGAAGTCGGATTACTCCAATGCGCTGGCCCCATCCTGATTATATTCGGCGGTATCCCATTCGCAATCGCCGCAGCATATTCGTACACCGTCCGCGCGGACCCAAGGGAGTTTCTTCCATCCTACCTTTACACGTTGCTAGTACTCTTCGTTCCCACCCTCTTCCTTCTAGCGTGGTTACAAAGAGATCCAAACAGCCTACCACAATGGACCACAATTATCCTTGAGATGATTATGATTCTGGTCTGGTCTTTGCTGTCTTTGCGTTGGGCAAGTGTGACCTTCGAGCCGGTGATTAAGAAGAGTCGTGAGGATACAAGACGTCTGGAGGCAGTACTCGCGAAATACTTTTTCTGTTTCAACCTTGTTACTGCTGTCTTATACTTTAGATACAGTTACCAATCGACTGGGACCATCAAGCCTCCATGGACCGACATCTTCGGCTAGTCCCGTGTTTACGAACAGTCAAGATATCGGCTTATGTATTACATACCTGGGTTCAGGAACAGGGTCAAAACCTACCTTACTAGAGCATATACTCATAAGGTTGAAGCTTAACTAGCAAAACTCAGTGGATTGTCTTTTCGGTTCAACAGTCCCCTACAAAGTCTGAAATGGAATAGGAAAACCATGATCTCTGGTTTGGGCTTCTGTAAGAAGGAAGAATTGATGGGCTA